CAGAAGTCTTGGGGTTTTTTTCCTTTTAATTTGGTTGTTTTGTTAATTTAGAAGCATCTTCAAAATATATTTATTTAAATGATTTATTATTTCTCATTGATTGAATTTTTTTTAAAGAAATAATTTTCTCCACATTTTTTATTGGTCATTGATTGAAATTGTGTGTGTGTGTATGTGTGTGTGTGTGTGTGTGTGTGTGTGTGTGAGTGAGAGACAGTGATGCTGGGGATTGAACTCAGGGTGATGCCTGTGCTAGGCAAGTGCTACCGTTGAGCCACACCCCTGGCCCTTATTGTTACTATTGATTTAATGCTGATGCATGGATTTAATAGAGTAAGTTTATATATTTGTTAGCAGGGCCACTATCAGCACTCTTTTTCTCCTAGTCTCCATTCATTGATTTATAATCACTTAAGTAGTAACAGCTGTCTATTGCTATGTAACAAATTACCATAAACTAGGGGCTTAAAATAACACACTTATGATCTCAACATTTCCTTAGGTGAGGAATCTGGGCACAGCTTAGCTGGGTCCTCTTCCCGGTGTCTCAGAAGGCAGGCTGTGTTCCTATTCAGATCTCAGCGTCCTTTTCCAACCTCATGTGGTTGTTGACAGAATTCAGTTCCTTCCAGTTGGCGGACTGGGGTCCTTGTATAATTCCTGGCTGTCAGCTGTGGGCTGCTATTAGCTTCTAGAGGCCACCCAGAGTTTCCCTACCACCAGCCCTTACTGCGTGGCACATGGCTTCAAGGCTAGCAGGTGACTTTTCAGTCAACTAAGGTTTGAAGTCATAGGTAATGTCACATAACCACAGGAGAGACTGTACCATCACCTTTGCCACATTGCAAATCACAGGTTCTGCCTGAACTTAAGGAAATAGCATTATATAAGGGCCTGACTCATTGGTGGTTACCTTAGGGTATGTCCACCAAGTAGGTGACTTCATCCTCTTGGTAACCTTCTGGACTCACTGGTCAGTAACAGTTTGTTTAATCAGTGCAGTCAGCTCCTCAGTCTACTCTAGACCAAGAACAAGTTCAAAATTTAGGCATTTTTCTTTTCATCATAAATTGTAGAAATACTGTGAAATTATTTTGCATGCATTAAAATTTTCTTTATACTGTATTAAAGTAAGATGTTTTATAAATAGAAAATTGATGAAAAATAGTCTTAGAGTCTGCTTTAGAAAAGCAGAATAGCCACCTTCACTCTCTTTCCTCTTCTTGTTAGAATGAAATTTATAGGGAGGAAAAAGAAACTCCAACTGGAGTCCATTCTAATTAACGGCAATACTGCTTCTGTGGCTTGAGCCTAACATTTTAGGCTCAGTATCCTCGGTGGTCGACTACTGCATACTACATCAGAAAAACTAACATTTACGTTTAGATTCACAGAAGGTCAAATCTCATCCCCCACATTCTCATATTTGGAGTTCAGAGACATGGATTTTCATTCTGTACTCCACCTTTAGCCTTTTGAAAAGCATCCCACAGGGTGCATGGTTAATTTGGAAGGCCCTTGAAAAATCAGAAGACTCATAGCAGCATAGGGTACTATGGTAATGTACCACCTTCCTCATGATGTTAATCACATCTGATTTCCATTATGAAATTATTGATTTTCAGATGTATTATCCATTCAGCCGTGGGTAGTAGTTTTGTTTTTTGTTTTGTTTTGTTTAGTTTTTTGTCTGTTATTGTTGTTGAACAGAGTTGGGGATTGACTCAGGCAAGTGTTCTACCCCTGAACTACACATTCAGTATCTTTTTTTCAATGACAGTCCTGGGTATTGAACCCATGGGCACTTTTTCCATTGAACTGCATCCCTGCCCCCTTTTTTATTTTTTATTTTGATATAGGGTCTCACTAAATTTCCCTGTCTGATTCTCCTGCCTCAGATTCCTGAGTAGCTGGGATTGTAGTCATGCACCACTGTGCCTGGCCTGCAGTATCTCTCTCTCTTTTTTTTTTTTTTTTTGTACTAGGGATTGAACTCAGAGGTTCTTAAACACTGAGCCACATCCTTAGCTTCTTTTACTTTTTATTTTTGGGATAGGGTCTTGCTAATTTGCTCAGGGCCTTGCTAATTTACTGAGGCTAGCTTTGAACTTGTGATCTTACGATCCTCCTGCCTCAGCCTCCCAAACTGCTGGGATTACAGGCTTGTGTCACTGCGCCTGGCTGCAGTATCTTTTAATATTGAGTGCTTGGATGACAGAGGTACGGAATTTAAACTTATCATAATAGTAAATATTAAAATAATGGCATAGTATTCATCAAACTTGCTCACAGAAGTTCTGCTACATGTACACACCATTGCAATTTCAGTTACCCTCACTGTCTCTTTTTCATTATCATGTTCTCCCTCTAGACTGGCTGTTTGACATATAAACATGTGTTAATGTCTCCTACCTTTAAAAATGCACACACACACACACACACACACACACACACACACACAAAACCCAGGTGTATTGGCATACTCCTATAATCCCAACTACTAAAGAGGCTGAGGCAGAGGACCACAAGCTCAAGGCCAACCTGGGCAACTTAATGAAAATCTATCTCAAAATAAAATTAAAAAGTCTAGGGATGTAGCTCAGTAGTAGAGTGCTTGTCTAGCATTTGTGAGGGCCTGGATCATTCCCAGCACTATAAAAAACCAAATGAATGAACCAATTAAAAACACAAGGAAGCTACAGCCTTCCCTTGACTCACCTTGTCTTGATTTGTACCTGGGATTTGTTTTAACCAGGAATGGCAAGGTGAGAGAAATGGAGACAGCTGCCTTTGAAAGAAGAGTTAATTTCTTATAGTTTTCAAGAAGAGGGGGCACACCGTGCCACACAAGGCCATGTGGAGAAGCTTCTGGTTCAATCAGGAGGCAAAAGGAACAAGGGGAAAGAATGGCCCAGAGACTTTGTAGTGATTTCCGCAAGAAGAAATGGGCGAGTCAGGGTAGGCCAGTTTGAGCAAGCTTGGAATTGGATAGTGTGAATAATTTCAGCAAGCTCTGGGTATCGGGGTGGCCCTAGTCATCCAGGCCCTGACCCCGGGGTGATTCAGGACAGGAGAAATATTGGCTTGCTGTGTGAGTTAAAGGAGGTGGTTGGGGATGTGAGCTTTGGATTGGTTGGCTTGCATGTGAAAGGCAAGGCGTGTTCACCACAAGTTATTATCTCATGGGAGTAGATAACTGGGAGGAGCAGTCTCGTTCTCAGGCTGTCACATTTAAAAAACAGAATATAAAAAACATTATTTATACACCATTTCTTTTAGCACCTGCTGTACTTCTTTGCTCTCCTTCATGATAAGACGTCACAGAGTTTGTGGTTGCTGCTTCTACTTCCTCTCCATTTCCTCTCTAACCTTCTCCCTCCATGAGTCACCCTTGGCCTCTCATTTCTCAAAGATTATGCCTCTCTCCTGAAATCCTTTTTCTTGGTTCCCCAGTTTGGTCCCAGTCTCCTTTATGGATGTTTGTTTTGCTTGACATTTACAAGTCAAGTCCCTGTTCCTGGGCTGGGTCCTGATCCCCCCAATCCACATTCTCCTGTGGCGATTCCTGCAAGTCTTGGGGTTTTAAGTACCATCTCTAAGCTAGCAACTCCTCACTGTATATTGTATATTTCCAGTGTAGAGTCCACATCCATATACTCAGCTACCTATCTGAGTCCTCCTCTTGAGTAACTCAAGGAATCACAAATGTAACCTGATCAAAACACAGTTCTACTTTCCAAACCTTCCTCCTGAATCTGAACCACTACAGTGTCTCCACTATCACGGTTAATAGGCCCACCATCCACTTGCTCAGACCTAAAACTGGTCTTTATACCCAAATCTCCTTTTTCCCTAAAACCTGATACCAGTTTATGGGAAATTCCTGTTGACTCCACTTCCAAAATAAAAGGTCTATTTTTTTTTTAATGTCTACTATCATAAATCTAAGCTAGCAGCATTTCTGTCCTACTCAGGCTATAATAGCCTCGTCTGACTATTATTTTTGGTTCCACTCTTGCCTTCCTTTACTCTAATCTCCAAAGAGTGACCACAGTGATCTTTTTAAGATGCATTTTAGCTAGACTTGGTGGCCCATACCTAAAGACCCAGCTACCCAGGAAGCTGAGCTGGGAGAATCACTGGAGCACAAGAATTTGAAGCTAGCCTCATCAATATAATAAGACCCTGTCTCAAAAGTAAATAAACTAAAATTAAAAGTAAGTAAATATGTAAAAATGCATTTCAATTGAGAATAGGCAAACTGATTAATAGAATAGAATTGAAAATACAGAAATGAACCCAAACATCTGTGGCAAATTGATTTTTGACCAGTATGTCAAGATCTTCAATGGGGAAAGAATAATCTCTTCAATAGTTGGTGCTGGGACAACTGGATATTCGTGTGCAAAAGAATGAATTTGGGAGGCTGGGGATGTAACTCAGGGATAGAACACTTACCTGGTATGCGCAAGGTCCTGGGTTCCATCTCCAGCATCACACACGAAGGAAGGAAGGGAGGGAGGAAGGGAGGAAGGGAGGAAGGGAGGAAGGGGAAGGAAGGAAGGAAGGAAGTTAGTTGGAGCCCTACCTCACACCATACAAAAATGTACTCAAACATTGGGCTGGGGGTGTACTTTAATGATAGAGAATTTGCCTAGCTTGCAGGAGATCCTGGGTTTGAAAACACTGGGGAGAGGGGATAAGGAATTGAAAAGACATTTCTCCAAAGAAGATATACAGATGGCTGATAAGCACTTGAAAAGATGCTCAACATCATTAGTCGATAGGGAAATGCAAATCAAAAACATAATGAGAGGGCTGGGGATGTGGCTCAAGCGTGCTTGCCTGGCATGCCTGTGTCCCGGGTTTGATCCTCAGCACCACATACAAAAACAAAGATGTTGAGTCCGCCAATAACTAAAAAATAAATATTAAAATTCTCTCTCTCTCTCTGTCTCTCTCTCTCTCTAAAAAAAATAAAAAATAAAATAATGAGAACTTTTCGGCCAGAACCACCATCTTTCAGTAATTCGCCAAAATGACAAACACAAAGGGAAAGAGGAGAGGAACCCGATATATGTTCTCCAGGCCTTTTAAAAAACATGGAGTTGTTCCTTTGGCCACATATATGCGAATCTACAAGAAGGGTGATATTGTAGACATCAAGAGAATAGGTACTGTTCAAAAAGGAATGCCCCACAAATGTTATGGCAAAACTGGGAGAGTCTACAGTGTTACCCAGCATGCAATTGGCATTATTGTGAATAAGCAAGTTAAGGGCAAGATTCTTGCCAAGAGAATTAATGTGTGTATTGAGCATATTAAGCACTCTAAGAGCCGAGACAGCTTCCTGAAATGTTTGAAGGAAAATGATCAGAAAAAGAAGGAAGCCAAAGAGAAAGGTACCTGGGTTCATCTGAAGCGCCAGCCTGCCCCACCCAGAGAAGCACATTTTGTGAGAACAAATGGAAAGGAGCCTGAACTGCTGGAAACTTTTCCCTATGAATCCATGCCATAATAAATGTTAAAAATAATAATAATGAGATAATACCTCACACCCACTAGAATGGCTATAATAAAAAAGTAGACAATAACAAGTATTATTGATGATATTGATAAATTGGAACTCTCATACATATTTAGTGAAAATGTAAAATGGTATAAATACTGTGCAAAGCGTTTTGGTATTTCCTCATGAAATTACTACGATTTGACTTTCTAGTTGTGTATGTATACAAAACCTTTTACCTGTATGTTCATAGCAGCATTACTCATAATAAACGGAAAGTGGGAACAACTCATATGTCCATCAAAAGATGAATGGGGGGGGAGCTGGGGTTGTAGCTCAGTGGTAGAACACTTGCCTTGCAGCATAGGGTCCTGGGTTTGATCCTCAGCACCATATAAATAAATAAAAAATAAAGATATTGTGTTCATCTGCAACTAAAAAAATATTTTTTAAAAATGGATGAATGGGGGCTGGGGATGTGGCTCAAGCAGTAGCGCGCTCGCCTGGCATGTGTGCGGCCCGGGTTCGATCCTCAGCACCACATACAAATAAAGATGTTGTGTCAGCCAAATACTAAAAAATAAATATTAAAAAATTCTCTCTCTCTTAAAAGAAAAATTTTTTAAAAAATGGATGAATGGGCCAGGCGCTGTGGTGCACACTTATAATCCCAGTGGTTCTGGAGGCTGTGACTGGAGGATCACGAGTTCAAAGCCAGCCTCAGCAACTTAGCAAGGCACTAAGCAACTCAGTGAGATATTGTCTCTAAATAAAATACAAAATAAGGCTGGGGATGTGGCTCAGTGGTTGAGTGCCCCTGAGTTCAATTCCAGGTACTAAAAAAAAGAGAGAGAGAGAGAGAGAGAGATGAATGGGCAAACTGTGTTCCATCCAATATAATGGAATAAAAAGGAATGAAATACTGATACATGCTACAATTTAGATGCTTAGATGAACCTTAAAATATTCTGTGGGTGAAAAGTCCAATATGAACTCAGTGGGCTGAAATCAAAGTATCGACATAGGGCTATTTTCTTTCTGGAAACTGGGGAGAATCTGTTTCCTTACTGCTCTCAGCATATTGAGGTTGTCTGCATTCCTTGGCTCAGAGTCCTTTTCTCCATGTTCAGGGCCAGGAACATAGCATCTCTCTGATCTTTACATCATCACAGCTCTTCCTCCAACCACAACCAGGAAAGATTCTCCATCTTTAAGGGCTCATCTGATACATAGGGCCCACTGGGTAATCCAGGTCATTCTCCCTTTCTCAAGGTTTTTAACCTTAATCATATCTACAGAGTTATTTGTTCCATGAAGGTAATGTATTCAGAGTTCTGAAGATTAGCATGTGGACATCTTTGGGGGCCATTATCCTGCCAACGAGTTTCTGTCACAGGCAAGCAAAAGTTAGGTTTGTCCTCACACCTTACAAGAGTTAGCTCCTACTTGTCTCTTTAACTTTCCTCATAACTCACTCCCTCACCCATTACCCTGGCCTCAAATAGCCAGGAGTTCTCACAGGGCCTTTGCACTTTTTTGTCTTATAATTTCTTATTAAATTATATCTTTCTTCAGCCTTTTTTCTTTGTTGACTTAATGTCATTCCAATATCAGATTTGATGTCACCTCAAAGACACACAAACTCCAATAAGCCACCTAACCATTATTCTGTCATGACCCCAATTAAAGTCACCACAAGGTGATGACTTTACATCAGCTACAGCTGATGGATTTCTTGTTTGTGTATTTGCTCTTAGCCCATCCATCTTAAATGTCACATGAGTAGAAACTCAATTTCCTGTGTCTGTGTGACATTGGAATGGTGTAGCACATAGTAGGTACTTAGTAAACACCTGCTCAGCTAATGTCATGACACTGGGGTAGGATGGCTAATGTTTCTGCTTATAGTGTAAATACATTTTTCAAATCATTGGACCTTGAAATTTCATAGTTTTTAATGAGTTGGATATTTAGACTTGCATTGTTTAAATATGTACCTATAAAGGGGAATGTTTGACTATTTGTACAGTTGTCCTTCAGATGTTCAATTACTTTATGTAAAATGATATGTGGTATCTGCATATAATCTACACACATCCTCCTGTAGACTTTAAATCATCTCTTGATAACTTATGATACCTAATATATTATAAATGCTATGTAAATAATTATATTATTTAGGGAATAATGACAGTTTATGAGAGGTCACAAAATGACTATATTTTTGAAGCCAAAGTCTGTACATGTTCACTACAAATGAAAATATTTTTTCAACTATTTTCCACCTTCAGTTAGTTTAATCTACAGATGCAGAAACCACAGATCTAGAGAGCCAACTATACATTGCTTTATTTTAATATTGCACAAAACAAATTCATATGAAGTGCTTTTGCCAAGTATCTTCACAAGAGGAGTTTTTAGTGGTCAGAACTGGCAGGTGGGTTTGACTTCTCAGTATGGAGAATCTTTGCTCTCATGGACAACCTGACCACTCTCTTGTTCTCACATGTACCTCTGTTACCTATCTTTCAGAAAGCATGCTCTGAATTGCCATCGGATGAAGCCTGCCCTCTTCAGTGTGCTCTGTGAGATCAAGGAAAAGACAGGTAGGCCATTTCAAAGACACTTCTGTGTGAATCCAGGACCACAACAAGCATGAGCCTCAGGTTCTGGCTTATGTGTGTGGTAGGCAGTTTTACTCATCACCTCTCTGGCAGCAGATGGTGGGTATGTTTTGTTTCTGCCTTTCATGTTTAGTTGGCCCTGTTGCTTTTGGACCTGTGGCAAAGCAGCACATCATGGTGGGAGAATGTGTCAGAGGAAACCACTCACCTCATAGCAGTTGGCAAGCAGAAAGAAAAGATGGGACAAGATTTCAATATCCCTTTCAGGGTTACCCTCCCACCTCCATAAGACCAGAAGATTACCAACTAACTCCCGTCTCTCCCAGTAGCACCACAGGGGACAAAGCCTTTGGGGGACACTTTCCAAATCTTAGCAGCCTCCATTGCCTTATAGGGATGGACAGGAACATGAAGTTCAGCATCTTGTACTTTCAGTCACCTGAAGATGAAAATTTTAACATAGTGGAGAAATGTCATATGCTGCTAATATTGTCTGCTTTGCAATGTAGAGTTGATGTAATCCCAAAATGACAGTTGGGCTAAAGTAAGGCTTTTAAGGTGTACAGTTGTCGCCTGAATAAACGAAAGAGCGCTCTAGATGAATTCACTAATGCTATTTCTGTAACCCATTGAATGCCAAATATTTCCACTGTATTCTATCCAAAATTAGCTGATAAGGAATTGAGAATTGAAACTAATTGCTTAAGGGTACTATTGGCAAGTCCAGGAAAAAAAATATTTTCCTCCTCTCTTGTCCAAAGCACAAGAAAAGTAAGAGGCTTTGCACCATTCTGTCCTTAACTCCAGCTCAAAGCTGTCAATCAGGAATGTTGATGCAGCAAAACAATTATCCATTATTTACTTCATGTCCTGCTCACAATTCCAGATGTAGACATCTGCCTTCCTCCATCCTGTTTCCCCAGAGACCACAAGATCTAAACTGGAAATTGGCAGAATTCCTTTTTATTTGCTTTTCATTTCTGTGTGTGTGTGTGTGTGTGTGTGTGTGTGTGTGTGTGCGCGCGCGTGCACACCCACACTAACTTTACTGGCAATTGAATCCAGGGCTTTGCACATGCTAGGCAAGTGCTCTACCACTGGGCTACATCCCCAGTCCTTTTTATTAATTTGAAACAGGGTTGTACTAAGTTGCTGAGGCTGACCTTGAACTTGCAGTCCTTCTGCCTCAGCCTCCCAAGTAGCTGGGATTATAGGTGTGTGCCACCATACCTGGCCAGACTTCTTTTTAAAGTTTTCCCTTTTTCTTTGTAATAGGTGTTCTGTCAGAAGCTCTGAGACGATGTAAATACTCCATTCCTCATTAATTTTTTTGTTTAATCATTTATTTTGTATCAGGATGGATTCAGAGTCCTGTTTTTTCAGAGTCAGGTACCATCATCATTTACTTTGATGCTCAAATTGTCCAACATTTGACTAGTGGGAGCCCCTTCAAGATGGCTTCTTGTCCTTCTGACCCGTCTGCAACATCCTTTGAGCACTTCCTTACTGGTGGCCATTACATTTGCCAGGCTCCTATTTTCTGTTTTCTCTGACCCAACTGGCATCAGCTAGTTCTCCAAGGAGCCCTGGCTACATTTAGAGTAGATCTTGGTCCTGTATGTGCTTATTGTTCTCAGGGTGTCACTACTTCCAGACACAGGATACAGAGCTGAGGAGTATTGTGGGTGATATGTATATGTACACACATCTATTTTTATATATCGGTATACATTGAAACCTGTATTTGTTCTAATATCTTTAATTCTGGTTCACCACCGTAGTGTTCATTCTGTTTTTCCTCTTTCTCAGTCTGTAACTCCTTTCTCTAGCAGAGAGAACCCCAGTTCTCTTATCCTCAGTGTATTTGCTTAATTGGTCTCCCTCCCACCCTCACCCCTAGGTACACCTCTACTCACATATCCCTCTCTCTGGCCCCATGCCCACCTCCAGGCCACAGCTGCTGATAACTTCCTTGTGACCCCTTTTGGAATGACACCCAGCACCAACTTGTCCTCCACAGACACCCCCTAGTCTGCTAGGCTGTGATGCTTGGAACTTCTCTACCCCTACTCAGATGTCTGTCTCATGTGTATGAATGTCTGGTGACCTAGGAACAAATGTTATAGCTTCCAGCAAATGGAAAAACAAAAGTTCAGCTTTCTTAGGGACACACACACACAAGCTTCTCACTAGCAATAACTTGGTTTTAAGCAAGTTTGCCTTCAAGCCACTGGCAGCACTTGCTGCTAGTGCTTCAGCATTCTGCATGATGGCCTGCAGACGTCCTGTACGTGCATGAGCCCTGTCTCCCAAATCCTCCTTCCCAGAAACAGCTCTCCTTCTAGATGTCCAGGGACACCAAAAAGTTCTCCTTGTGAGAGAACTTCAAATA